GAGAGAGAGAGAGAGAGCAAGATGAGTGGAGCAGTTCTGGTGGCTGTTGCTGCAGCAATGGGTAACTTACTACAAGGATGGGATAATGCTACTATTGCTGGTAATTTATTCTTTCATTTATTTTTACTCTTTTTTATTGTATTGTTATATTATGGATCACAACTAATAAATTTTGTGCTTTTGAATCCCCAGGCGTTTTATTTCTTTACAGTAGGAATTCAAAATTTGTTTTTATCTTCGATATTTTTAGAAACAAAAACAATAAAAAAACACCCATTCATCAACTTATCTTTTTTATTTTACGGTTTTCTGTAGGATTTTGGAGTTTCCTCAATACTTTTTTTTCCTTCTTTTTCATTCTTTTGATTTTCTTGTGTGATTGTACTCAGGTTGTGCCCCCTCTCTACTTTATCTATTACAATCTTCTTTGTTGCTTATCAGAAAAAATAATAAAGTGTTTCCAATAGAAGTGTTTCAGCAAATCAATTTGTCAAACAAAATTTTCATTTTCCCAATTTTTGAGAATAGAATATGAAAACAAAAATGATACCAAACACACCCTGAATTTTACCAGTACTATAGAAATTCACACCTATAAATATCTATCACCTATTTCCAAGAAGTCGAGAAACTTTAATGTCTCAAATCATAAATAAATTGTTTTAACAAAAAAGCCACTCAAGTAGATGAAGTTTTAGAATTGATAAGATGAGATTTTTTTATTGTAGCCTTGGACTCAATCTACTCCTCCTTTTAAACCCTTATTCAGTGAGGACTAAACTAGGCATGCTTTCCTTGGATCTCATAGAAGATTGTTCATGTCAACACAACTTAGCTGAAAATAATTTTCTATGCGACTATCACCCCACATTTCTTGGGTAGAAGATGAATCTTGCACTACAATTGATGTTCTTTTAGAAATTTTGATCATATAAAAGATTTAAAATAAACAACACTGTCAATTTGATGCATCAATTTGCACGTAGTAAAAAACAAAAAATTGACTTCAAATTACAATTCCATCTAGTTTAGGTCCTAATTTGAATAAATTACATCAATTTTCAAAATGATTTGTACTAAATACATACACAAACAAATGATTTTCTTGCATGGACTTTGTAGAGTAGAGTAGACCCAATGGAGGATTGGGATGTTTTGGGATGTTTAGAATTGGACTAAATGGGCAGTGTGTTCAAACTCCTTTTCCAGTGGTGACAACTATTTTAAGGTTTTCATCAAACGAACAATTATATGTAGTAAATAAAAATTTAATTCCACTCATACCTGTGTGGAGTTGCCCCTGCTTCTATAGGAATCAAATTTGCTCCACAGAAGTGCAGGTTTTTTGGTGGAATTCCTCCTCATTATCTGTTTACTTTTTGTAGGGTTTTGATTACTTAATCATTTGTTGCATAACCTTCTCTTTCAAAATGATGCATATGCTATGTGGGCATAAGCAAAGCTTTGGCATCCACATGCTAGTTGGGCTGACTGAAAAATTAATTCTTACTTTTCCAAGATAAGGAAATGCAGTAGTCTCAAATGTGTCTGTCAATGCACAAATTCTGCCATGATGCTGATTGGTGAATGTTGCTGTTGCCTTATCTGATCATCCAAATTTAATAAAACTTTACCTTGTCATCATCTTCTTTAAATTGATTACTGATGGATGTGTGAAAGATAGGATTAGAAATGAATATATGTGCGAAATGGTAGGAGTACTATCAGTTGAAGATAAGTTGAGAGAGAAGATGCTAAGATGAAGATTTTGTGATCAGAGAATAATGACAAGACAAGCTGTTAGAAATTATAGTTTCAAAAAAATAAAATAAAACTAAATTGCGTCTAATTGGTTCAATTTGATTTTGTTTTATGATTTTGACAATTAAATTTAATTTCAGATTTGATGGGTTAACGTGAAATTTGCAGGAGTTGCCAATGCACCAACGAGGAGATGCAGTGAGTTCCATGGTATATGAGGCAAACGCAAGGGTACGTGATCCAGTGTACGGATGTGTAGGGGCAATATCATCGTTGCAGCAACAAATTGACCTTCTTCAGACCCAGTTGGCTCTTGCACAAGCTGAGGTGGTGCATATGCGAATGCGCCACTTCTCTTTATCAATGTCTAGTGCATCCACCGATTCACCAGACAATAATAATTCACCACCACCACCACCGTCGTCCAAGCTCATGTCATCTTCTCATCAGACCAAGTCCCTTTTTAACATGGACGCCATGGTGGTTGATCATCCCAATATGGGGGAGTCCTTGTGGTCATGCTAGCTTTAATTGCATGAGAAAGTTTAAACGAGTTTCGAAATTTCACAAAATAGAATATAGATGTGAGACAAAATGACGAGATGTTTGTCTCACATCTGTGTTCCGTTAAATGAAATTTTAGCATGGATGTTTGCTCTTTTACGATTATTATCATAGGCTAGCTTTCTTTATTGTCTGCCTATTTTCTGGCTTCTTTTACTTACACATCTTTATAGCAGCAACACATCTCTCTACTTGACCCAGAGATGATGATGATGATGATTATTATTATTATTGTAATCATTAACCATATTGTAAATGTCTTCAGCATATAATTATGAGTTATTATATATATATATATATATATATATAATAACTCATAATTATATGCTGAAGACATTTACAATATGGTTAATGATTATAATAATAATAATCATCATCATCATCATCATCTCTGGGTCAAGTAGAGAGATGTGTTGCTGCTATAAAGATGTGTAATTAAGTAAAAGAAGCCAGAAAATAGGCAGACAATAAAGAAAGCTAGCCTATGATAATAATCGTAAAAGAGCAAACATCCATGCTAAAATTTCATTTAACGGAACACAGATGTGAGACAAACATCTCGTCATTTTGTCTCACATCTATATTCTATTTTGTGAAATTTCGAAACTCGTTTAAACTTTCTCATGCAATTAAAGCTAGCATGACCACAAGGACTCCCCCATATTGGGATGATCAACCACCATGGCGTCCATGTTAAAAAGGGACTTGGTCTGATGAGAAGATGACATGAGCTTGGACGACGGTGGTGGTGGTGGTGAATTATTATTGTCTGGTGAATCGGTGGATGCACTAGACATTGATAAAGAGAAGTGGCGCATTCGCATATGCACCACCTCAGCTTGTGCAAGAGCCAACTGGGTCTGAAGAAGGTCAATTTGTTGCTGCAACGATGATATTGCCCCTACACATCCGTACACTGGATCACGTACCCTTGCGTTTGCCTCATATACCATGGAACTCACTGCATCTCCTCGTTGGTGCATTGGCAACTCCTGCAAATTTCACGTTAACCCATCAAATCTGAAATTAAATTTAATTGTCAAAATCATAAAACAAAATCAAATTGAACCAATTAGACGCAATTTAGTTTTATTTTATTTTTTTGAAACTATAATTTCTAACAGCTTGTCTTGTCATTATTCTCTGATCACAAAATCTTATTCAATTCTCAAACATTAAGCAAAATGCATCCTTTTCAAACAGTAAGTAATATGCCATCATTGACTCTTTTTTTTTTAAGAACAAAATGTCAACCTTGTCATCATTTTCTAAACAACATGCAATTTGTCATCATTTTTTCAAAAAACAAAAAGAAATTTGCCATCAGTTTTCAAACATCAATTAAACAATCAAAATATTCCTGCTCACAAGCAAGAGCATTGTCAAACAATATAGAATTGAAAACTAGTACAAATTTATTTCAAGATTGCCTTGATCAGCGGCTAAAAGCTGTTGAAATGAAACTACTACTCATTCGAGCCGGAAAATTTTTCATAGGCATCTACAGCAGTTTTTTTTTGTTGTTGTTGTAATGATTAAGCATGAGCAATTTGATTCTGTGTCTTTGTACTGCATGCATGTACTGTTTTTTGATGAACGGTTTGACGCGCGCCCTAAATCCGTCTTTTTGGACTTCAATTAAAAGGCGCCTCTAAAATAAAGGTGCTTTACATAATATTATTTGTAAAAATGTTTGAGACTTCTAAATGAAGAATTCTAGAGGTGAGCCCCCATTTTATGATTTGATGTTTTGGCTTGTAATATTACATTATTTATTTATTTATTATGTATTGCAACATTACTAGAGTTGGCATTAGAATTTCAACTCTAGTGCTTTCTATCATCACTCTATTATTTGCATTCGGATGTCAACATCTCTATCTCGGCACAAATACAACTCTGACTTGGATATTCATATTAAATGTACAATCTAGCCTCACCTTCGTGGATTGTTCACTACAAGGAAGGAGCCATGGCTTGGCCTAGGGTGGCCATGGCCCCCCGTTTTTCAAACTCCATTTATAGATAGTATATATAGGGTGATTATATGCAAGGACTTCTCAAGTTGCAGGTATTGATTGACCTCACTACCCAATTAGAATAGTAATATAAGCCACAAAACAAAAGTCTCATAAAGTCTTTTAATTACACTTGACCCAACAACCCATCACCATTCTAAATAAAAGAGTAAAAAAATAAATAAATAATACAATCAAACTCTATTTCTTTCTATATATAATATTGAATTTTTTTTTTTTTTTGATGTGCATGGAGTATAATGTTTAAATTTTTATGTAGTATAATATTTGGCCCTCTTTAAGATAAAATCCTAACTTTGTCCTTAATTCTCTGTACACATTTTTAGTTATTTTATTTACCAATATTTTATTCATATTTCCCGTTTCCTTTCTTCTTATCCTTCTTTTTTTTTCCCCACAAATTTCTAGTCAAAAGAGAGAGAGAAAGAGAGACAGACAGATAGACAGAGACAAAGTGATGAATGAGAGAGAGACAAAGTGGTCGCTAGAAGTGCATTTTCTTGTAGTGGAGAGCTCGGTAAATAGAGAAGAGATGAGGGAGAGAGTGAGCAAGGTGAACACAATGGGAAAGAGAGACAAGCAGACAGACAGACACATAGAGAAAGAGAGAGAGAGAAGAGCGAAAGACAGACAAACAGACATAGAGAGAGAAAGAGAGAGAGAAGAGTGATAAGTGAGAGAGAGACAAAGAGAGAAAGAGATATAGAGAGAGATATAGGGAGACAGAGAGAGAAACAGATAGAGAGAGACATATAGAAAAATAAGAGAAACAATAGATGAGCGAGAGATAGATAGAGTGAGAGAGAAAGAGAGCGAAAAAAGATGATCGAGAGAAAGACATAGAAAAAGAGAGAAACGAAGAGAGAAGAAAGATGAGCGAGAGAGACGGATAGAGAGATAGAGAGAAGAGAGATAGAGAGATGAGAGAGATAAAGAGAAGAGAGATGAGCGAGAGACAAAGAGAGAGAGAGAAAGAGAAAGAGACAAAAACAAAGACTGACAGACAGAGAAGAGTGATGAGTGAAAGAGAGAAGAGAGGTAATATTTTGTGGTAGAGAAAAGGAACCGACAGTAGTGGTGAATGTGGTGGATAAGAGATGATGGTGGTGGTGGTGGTGGTGGTGATGACAAAGGAGATTAGTGGTAAAGTTGTGGTAGCAGTAGAGTAAATGGAGTAGCAGGGGTGAAAGAGAGGTAAAGGTAGTAGTAGTAGTGGTAGTGAAGTGGTGGCAATGGTAGTAGTAATGGTAGTCGTAGAGGTGAAATGGCGACCGTGGTAGTAGTGGTGGTAGTGAAATGGCGTTTGCAGTAGTGGTGAAGGTGGTAGAGGAGATGAGTGGTGCGAGAGAAAGATGAGTAAGAGGCACAGAGAGAGAGAGAGAGAGAAAAGAGATGAAAGAAGAGATAGATGAATGAAAGACACACAGAGAGAGAGACAAATAGACAGACAGAGAGAGGAGAGTGATGAATGAGAGAGAGAAAGAAAATAGGGAGAAAAAGATGAAAAAATTGGTGAAAAGATATAGACAAATAGAGAGACAGAAAGAGAAAAAAAAAAGAGCGAAAAGAGATAAACAAGAGAGAGACAGAAAGAGATGAGCGAGAGAAAAAAAAATAGAGAGAGAAGATAGATGAAAGAGATAGAGAGAAGAGAGATGGACGAGAGACACAGAGAAAAAGAGAGACAGACAGACAGACAGACAGACAGACAGAGAAGAGTGATGAGTAAGAGAGAGAAAGATAAGAGAGACAAAGACACAGAGAGAAAGAGAGAGACGAACAGACAGAGAAGAGTGATGAGTGAGTGAGAGACAGAGAAGAGAGACAGAGACACATAGAGAAATGAAGAGATAGACAGACAGAGAAGAGTGATAAGTAAGAGAGAAAAAGAGAAGAGAGACAGAGACAGAGAGATAGGAAGATGAAAAAATGGGTGAAAAGAGAAATGTTCAAAAGAGTAAGACGACGTCGTTTATAGTGGATCGATAAATCGAGAAGGAGCTCGATAAATAGAGAAGATGGGAGTAAGAGAGTGAGCAAGGCAAACATAGTGAGGGAGAAATAGACAAATATACAAGTAGAGAGAGAGAGAGAGAAGAGAGACAGGGAGAGAGAGATAGACAGAAAAAGAGATAGAGAGAGAAAAAGAGAGAGAGAGAGAGAGAGATAGAGATAGAGGGAAAGATAGAAAAAGAGAGAGAAACAACAGATGAGCGAGAGATAGACAAAAAGAGAGAGAAATAGAGCGAAAAGAGATGAGCAAGAGAGA